AGCGACAATTTTCGCCAGCAGAGCTGGCCACCAACGAGCAGCTTTTCGCTGGGGTGGCCAGCTGGGATATTGGGCTCCTGTGCGACAGTCGTCAGCCCCCCCTTTCCCGCAGGATCCCCCCCAAACTTTGCCAGCTTTTCGCCCTCGTCTTGCTGACACCCCTACTCCACCTCGCAGCCCAGCCAACCAGCCTGTCAGGCTGGCGCCTGTTACTCTTTGCACCTCGGCTGACACTCCGCCTCAACTCGCCAAAGCACCCTGATTAGCCCACCGTGGAGAAAAGGCTGCAGCAGTTCCTGGCGGGCGATTGGCACGAGCTTTACCTGGCAGCAGGGGATGCCATTCATGACCCACCTGCGCCACATCACATGGGGGACGCCCTCAGCAAAATATCGCGAGCCGAGGGGCTGGTCCGCCGTGGCAGTCTGCGACGAGCCCTGCTGGCCTTGGACTCAACACCAGTCAGCGAGTCAAACCCAGAAGTCCTCGTGGCGTTGAGATCCAAGCACCCAGCCCTGCTGACGGAGTCTTTTGCATGGCCACACATCGACGATTCGGAGGCCCCTCCCTCCCTTACGCTCGCGGAGTTCACCAGGTTACTGAGTCGCAGTGAAAATGGGGTCAGCGCGGGCCCCTCGGGAATGTGTTTCGAGCACATTCGCGATGCAGCCCTCGCCAACGGCACCATCGCCAGCAAACTTCACGACCTCATTACTCGACTGATGCGGAGCGACTCTACACCTGACGTAGCAGCACTCCTCACAGCCAGCTGCCTACTCGCTTTTCCAAAACCTGAAGGAGGCACACACCCGATTGCCGTGGGCGAGTGCCTCCACCGCCTCGCCGCCAAAGCGGGCCTTATCTCGATGGTGGACCGGGCGCGCGACCACTTCCTGCCACTGCAGTTTGGCGTAGCGGCAAAGGCCGGCGGAGAGGCAATAATCCACGGTGCCCGCGCGTTCGCCACCAAACGACCTAATTCGCTCCTGCTGCAGATCGACCTCACCAATGCCTATAATAGTGTCGATCGTAGCGCCATCGTCACGGGCATTTATAACTCCCCCTTCCGCCCTCTCCTACCTTTCGTCCAGCTTTCGTGCGGCGCCCCCTCCCTGCTGTACCTCGATGCCAGATTCAATAGCCAGCCCCTGCTCAGTGCGCGGGGCGTCAGGCAAGGGGATCCCATGGGTCCGCTGCTCTTCGCCGCCGCCATGCACTCTGCTTTGCAAACGACCGCCGCGGCGTACCCCAGCATCCTCTGCCTGGCTTACGCCGACGACATCACACTGCTGGGCGAGCCGGCAGCGTGCACAGCGGCGTTCACGCACCTCACCAACACTCTGAGCCCCCTGGGCCTCACACACAACCCCTCCAAGTGCGCGGCCTGGTCCCCGTCCCAGCCCCCTGCCTCCGTCCTACCCCCTACATCCCCTTCTGCAATTCTGGTCTGCGGGTCCTGGGCAGCCATATCGGCCCAATAGGAGAGATAGGAAGCTAGGAGGGATAGGAGTGATAGGAGAGATAGGAGGCTAGGAGGGATAGGAGAGATAGGAGGCTAGGAGGGATAGGAGAGATAGGAGGCTAGGAGGGATAGGAGAGATAGGAGGCTAGGAGGGATATCAGGTATAGCAGAGATGCAAAGAAGGCAGGGAGAGGAGGGAAATTGGGGACAGAAGGGATAGGAGGAATGTGAAAAACTGGGATACCCAGGGACAACAGGGATAGCAGTGATGGAATGGGGAGAGGACGAGAGGGGGCTATTTTTTAGGCACCTAAAAAATGGACGTGAGGGGGATGGGGGGAGAACGAGAGGGGGATGTGGAGAGGACACGAGGGGGAAGGGGAGAGGACCAGAGGGGGATGGGGAGAGGGCCAGAGGGGGATGGGGAGGGGACGAGGGGGCAGGGGAGAGGACCAGAGGGGAATGGGGAGGGGACCAGAGGGGGATGGGGAGAGGACCAAAAGGGTTATGGGGAGAGGACCAGAGGGGGAAGGGGAGAGGACCAGAGGGGGATGGGGAGAGGACCAGAAGGGTTAGGGGGAGAGGACCAGAGGGGGAAGGGGAGAGGACCAGAGGGGGAAGGGGAGAGGACCAGAGGGGGAAGGAGAGAGGACCAGAGGGGGGTGGGGAGAGGACCAGAGGGGGATGGGGAGAGGACCAGAGGGGGATGGGGAGGGGACAAGAGGGGGATGGGGAGAGGACCAGAGGGGGAAGGGGAGAGGACCAGAGAGGGATGGGGAGAGGACCAGAGAGGGATGGGGAGGGGACAAGAGGGGGAAGGGGGGAGGACCAGAGGGGGATGGGGAGAGGACCAGGGGGGGATGGGGAGAGGACCAGAGGGGGATGGGGAGAGGACCAGAGGGGGATGGGGCGGGGACAAGAGGGGGAAGGGGAGAGGACCAGAGGGGGAAGGGGAGAGGACCAGGGGAAGGGGAGAGGACCAGAGGGGGAAGGGGAGAGGACCAGAGGGGGATGGGGAGAGGACCAGAGGGGTATGGGGAGAGGACCAGAGGGGGATGGGGCGGGGACAAGAGGGGGAAGGGGAGAGGACCAGAGGGGGAAGGGGAGAGGACCAGGGGAAGGGGAGAGGACCAGAGGGGGAAGGGGAGAGGACCAGAGGGGGATGGGGAGAGGACCAGAGGGGGAAAGGGAGAGGACCAGAGGTGGAAGGGGAGAGGACCAGAGGGGGATGGGGCGGGGACAAGAGGGGGAAGGGGAGAGGACCAGAGGGGGAAGGGGAGAGGACCGGGGGAAGGGGAGAGGACCAGAGGGGGAAGGGGAGAGGACCAGAGGGGGATGGGGAGAGGACCAGAGGAAGGGGAGAGGACCAGAGGGGGAAGGGGAGAGGACCAGAGGGGGAAGGGGAGAGGACCAGAGGTGGAAGGGGAGAGGACCAGAGGGGGATGGGGCGGGGACAAGAGGGGGAAGGGGAGAGGACCAGGGGAAGGGGAGAGGACCACAGGGGGAAGGGGAGAGGACCAGAGGGGGATGGGGAGAGGACCAGAGGGGGATGGGGAGAGGACCAGAGGGGGATGGGGAGAGGACCAAAAGGGTTAAGGGGAGAGGACCAGAGGGGGAAGGGGAGAGGACCAGAGGGGGATGGGGAGAAGACCAGAGGGGGATGGGGAGAGGACCAGAGGGGGAAGGGGAGAGGACCAGAGGTGGAAGGGGAGAGGACCAGAGGTGGATTGGGAGAGGACCAGAGGGGGAAGGGGAGAGGACCAGAGGGGGATGGGGCGGGGACAAGAGGGGGAAGGGGAGAGGACCAGGGGAAGGGGAGAGGACCAGAGGGGGATGGGGAGAGGATCAGAGGGGGATGGGGAGAGGACCAGAGGGGGATGGGGAGAGGACCAGAGGGGGAAGGGGAGAGGACCAGAGGGGGAAGGGGAGAGGACCAGAGGGGGAAGGGGAGAGGACCAGAGGGGGATGGGGAGAGGACCAGAGGGGGAAGGGGAGAGGACCAGAGGGGGAAGGGGAGAGGACAAGAGGCTCTGATAACAGTGCCGCCCAGTGTTCCCGCTTCTCACTCCGCGTGCATCCCCCACCCTTCGTAAGCTCATGCCCTTCTTAGTATTTGATCCCATCACACCTGATTTACCCCCTGCCTGCCCCTGTATCTCTCCCCTCCCCTACCCTCCCCCCCACCCTCCTCCCCCCCCTGGTTTGCAGATCCAGTGTGTCCTTTCATCCCTATTGCAAGTTTCTCACCCATCAGGAGCACGCAGCTCCCGTCGCCCTCTCACCTAGCCTCCACCTACGAGCCCTGATCCCATGGCCCCCTGGATGAGGGACGTTGCTCTTCCACCTTTCCTCCTGAACTGTTCGAAACCCTTTGTGCTTGTAGCTCCTAAACTGCCCCTGTTGTGGTTCCTGCCAACTATATCACACCCTGGTAACGAATCCCACACGTGTCATTACAATCTTCCCAGCCCGTGGCGCGTGCAAGATGTCCAACCACCATACATCTCCATTGTAATTGAAATTTTACAGGCAAATATCTTAGCTGATGCATTGCATGTGAGTTGATGCATTGTATGTGAGCTGATGCATTGCATGTGAGCTGATGCATTGCATGTGAGCTGTAATCTCAAACCTCACTTTGTACATTTAGTTTTACAGCTAACCCAGCTGGTGCCTTTCAACTGAGTATCACCACCCATCCATTCGCATTCCTTAGTGTCCTAGGCCCAGGCAGTAGGTGATAGTAGTTCTGGTCTGGAATGAACCCACGGAATTCTGGCAGCAATGTCATACCTCTCGGTAACTGTAACACATGGTGAGGAGAAGAGCAGGGGCAGGGGCAGAGGCACAGACATTGTGATGCACGTATTGGGGAAGTATGAGAAGGGTATGCGGTAGGAACTGGAGGCTGGGAAATATTGCGGACTCTCCTCCCCCAGTCCTACTCTTCCCCCATGCCTCTCCTCCCTGCATGCTCTTTCCTCCCCCCATGCCTCTCCTCCCTGCATGCTCTTTCCTCCCCCCATGCCTCTCCTCCCTGCATGCCCCGTCCTTCCCCCATGCCACTCCTCCCTGCATGCTCTTTCCTCCCCCCATGCCTCTCCACCCTGCATGCCCCGTCCTTCCCCCATGCCTCTACTCCCTGCATGCTCTTTCCTTCCCCCATGCCTCTCCTCACTGCTTGCTCCGTCCTCCCCCATGCCTCTCCTCCCTGCATGCTCTTTCCTCCCCCCATGCCTCTCCTCCCTGAATGCTCCGTCCTTCCCCCATGCCTATCCTCCCTGCATGCTCAGTCCTTCCCCCATGCCTCTCCTCCTTGGATGCTCTTTCCTCCCCCCATGCCTCCCCTCCCTGCATGCTCTTTCCTCCCCCATGCCTCTCCTCCCTGCATGCTCTTTCCTCTCCCAGTCCACCTCGCATCCTCTCCCAGTCCGTCTCACATCCTCTCCGTGTCCGCCTCCGTGTCCCCCTCGTATCCTCTACGCCTCCACCCTGCATTTATCTCCCCGTACCCGGGACGTGTATCCTCTCGCTTGCAACCCCATTCCCCCTCGCAATCTATCCCCTTCGCCCATTCTCTCTCTCTCCTCTCTCTCTCTCTCTCTCTCTCTCTCTCTCTCTATCCCTCTCTCTCTCTCTCTTTCTCTCTCTCCCTCTTTCCTCTCTCTCTCTCCTCTCTCCTCCCCTCTCTCTCTCTCTCTCTCTCTCTCTCAAAAACTCTCTCTCCTCTCTCTCTCTCTCTCCACTCCTCTCTATCTCTTTCTCTCTCCAACCTCTCTCTCTCCCTCTCCTCTCTCTCTCTCTCTCCTCTCTCTCCTCATCTCTCCCTCTCTCCTCTCTCTCTCTTTTTTTTTTTCTCTCCTCTCTCCTCTCTCTCTCTCCTCTCTCTCTCTCCTCTCTCTTCTCTCTCTCTCTCTCTCTCTCTCTCTCTCTCCTCTTTTTTTTCCTCTCTCCCACCTCTCTCTCCCTCTCTCCTCTCTCATCTCTCTCTCTCTCTCTCTATTTCTCTCTC